AAAAAAAAAAAAAAAGGTCAAACGTAATATTATCTTTAAAAATGTCCCTTTAATGTAGCAGTGAAAAAATCCAAATCAGGCACCAACCTCAATGATATCAGCAGCTAACTTTGGTTATTTTTATATATTCCCTGAACACTTTATTTCTGTTTTCCATTCTCTTTAAATTTCTTTATTTTGGTGCACAGTATGCTCCTAGCAGGGGAATTTAAAACTTGCAGGTAATTTTCTTCAGATTAGGGATGGAAAGCTTGACAAATAGTACAAAACAGACTTTATCAATAAGCAAAACAGAAAGCAAACACTTTCAGATTTTAAACTGAGATCCAAACATTGATATATACTGTTTATTTATATACATATTTAGATTTATTGTGGTGTTTTGTTTTCCCACACCCCAAGTTAAAATATGCCATTCAGCAATGTAGGACTTTGCTGTCTAGAGCAGTGAATGGATGAGTGAAACATATTAATACCCATCCAAGAATTACCTCAAAATACTGGTTTTTATACTCCCTAAGTATCCCTAAGATTGCCCTAAGAGAAGTATTAATTTTGAGGACTACTTTGCCCATAGCTGTTGATATAAGAAGTGAAAATTAATAGTATTTTATAAGGTATTAGCATTATTTTTTGTATGACATTTTGGTTTCTTTTAATCTCGTGGGCGTGTCGGGCACTTTTGAAAATGTTGTTAAAGTTATACAATTTACCCCGTCTCCTCTTGGTGTTTCTGTTTGGGGCTGCATATTTTCCAAATCTGCTAAATCTCCAAGAGAGGCCCCCTTTTTTTAAGCAGGCCCAGCTGAGAGCGATTAGTTTATTACATAACACACAGGCTCTCACACACAGATGTTTCAACAGAGCAGGCAGTATAACTAAAGGTACACAGTGAGAACTTTAACCATTTTCTTAACACAACGACGCATGAATGGTGCTGCTGCCATTATAATGTGTCTTTGATCACGTGTTGACATTGGAAACACAGCTGGACAGTCTTTGTTTATGCACACACCAGACTGTATATACCATCATGTGAATGTTTGTTTTAAGCCCTTTCTATCTTTTTATCTTTGTTTTGCCCTCATGAACTAAATTTCCTACGGATAGTGAATGAAATGTTAAGATGGAGCCCTCCTTACAAACTTTTCTGTCAGTATGTGTAATTTTGAAATATGCCATGTGATTTATGGCTTATTATAGTCCACTGGGTATTAAAGAAAACATTTCAGCTGTAAAAGTCATTTTTATTTTGTGCATCAATCGTTCGATCTCAATAAAATCTATTACAAATATATTGTTTTTATAAAAGCGCTATTCCTCTCAGACCATCCCTATAAACAAACTGTCTAAGGAAGGAAGTCATATGACAATAGAAGAGGAAGAGAAAGTTCAATGAATGAATGAAAGAGAAAGAATTTTAGGGTTATGGAAAAAAAAAACTACTGCTGCTTTCTCTGGCAACACAAAGATTATGAGAAAACATGGATGGGAGAAAGGAGATTAGCTCAACTCACTGGTAAGGCATTTCAGAAATGTGGGGTGTGTGTAAAGCTGCTGCTGCTGCTTTAAGGAAAGTGAGTCCAGCTGCTGTCCGACAAAAGCAGCCTGTGGAAATTTAGACATGTTATTTCTAAACACTATATGTGTCGACGTAAGTTTTACCGATAAAAAATGGAAGATGCTCCAAGCTTTTCGTCTAACTCATGTCAGTAAGCCAGGTTGTTATCAACTTGTGTAATAAAAAGTCACTCCAGGCTTTTCTTCTAAATCCTAAGATATATCTCAAGCATTATACCTGTGGATGAGAAAATATTAGAAAAAAAAGGGGAATGTTTGTAAAAAAGTGTTGATTTGTTTGGTAGATCAACTTTTGACCTTGCTTTATTGATGATACACAGACTAAAGTAAAGTTAAAGCATAGTAAAACATTGATGATTGCTTTCCTGCAGCTGACAGCTGTGCTCAATGTTTAATTACTTTACAGCTAAGAGTTTAGGAAATGACTCCTTGTGTCAACAGTGATGACATACATATAGCCACAGAATTTAATTAAGAAGACTCTCAGGAGATCAAGCATGACAATGAGACCAACCCAGATTAGAGACACAATTTAAAGTTTTTATCTTTTTAAAGAAAAGGTTACTTACATATCGTCGCAGCTTCTTCTCTGGAGGTGATTTTCGTAGCCAACCATCACACACCACGTCCCCCTCTCCACTCATCCTGATGTTTTCCTGATCAATTAATCAATTAGCTGGCTCTCCACACACCAAGTCAGGTTTCAAAGCAATCAAGGGCTTTTAATTAAGATTCCTGGTAGCCAGATTCTTGGCTAAAAGTGTCAATTATTTATAATTGCAAGCTTAATTCAAAGAACTGTGATTAGTTTCCTCCATCAGGGCTTCAGTGCAGTCCAGTGTCAGAAGAGATCATCAAAAGGTTTCCAAAATGCCAGGAATACCAAGAAGCTTGCTGTTCTTTTTCCAATACAATCCAGCTGCATTCATAACATCTCAGCTCATCCCTATATGGCAGAGCTGAGTGTAACTGTCGATGGCCAAGTAAGAGAATCACACCTCCTCCTGAGCCGGTTTCAACTTCCCAGCAGAGTTATTTCCCCCCTCCTCTCCCGGGTGCTTGATAACCAACACAATGCCTGAGCTCGGACATTCCTTCCCTGCTGCCTTATTTTTCCACTCCTCCTCTTCTTCCTCACTCCTCCCATTCTGTCCCTGCTCGGCTAAACAGGAAACTCCCCCTGTGGATCTGCATGCATATATGAGAAAGGGGTTTTCTTCTACTAAAACATACAATGGGTGTTTTTCACCTCCCTAAAAAGTAATAACAATGTAAATATCAATAAAAGATTAAGTCCTGAAATGTTTAAGAGTTTTACAATATGCAAAAAGTATTAAATACCAGCAGATATTTGCCACGGTATCTTTGTGTTTGATTCCCTTTCTTATGTAAGCTTCCTGTTTTTTTTAAGTAGTTCCTTCGTTCTTTATTTGGTTTCTTCAGATCATGTAATTTTCTGTTAGCTTGGTCATTTAGAGATTATTTTACACATTCTTTTCTTTATGCTCTTGTCACTTTGTTTCTCCTTAATAGTAGTGATTTCAAAGCCTCATGATTCAATTAAGCAAGTAGACTCCAGTTTTGAAGCACCTGCCGCAGTGCCATTTTTCCTTAAATGGTATTAGGACTAAGGTGCACATTATTTCATAGCTTGTTTGTTCCATAATAATAATGTATAAATGCATGTGGCATGTTCATGCAGCAGGGACATTATGTAAAAAAACATAAACATACAGTCAGAAAACAAGGAACATGATAATGACTAAATAAAATTAAAATTAAACATTAGGGGAGCATAAACATCTATCTATCTATCTATCTATCTGTCTGTCTGTCTGTCTGTCTGTCTGTCTGTCTGTCTGTCTGTCTGTCTGTCTGTCTGTCAATAATTGTAAAAATGTATCATGATATTAAGAACGAATAGAAGAAGAATAATAAAAAGGAATTGTGATTCAGTTAGGTATTACATAAAAAAAAATAGATAATTATTTTGTTTTATTTTCCCTTGAGATTTTCTCAGTTTTTCAGTTCACGAATTATGTCTTAATTTCATTTTAGACAGTCTTTTTTGGTTTAAACTTTATTGTAAACATTTTTTTTTTTTTTTTTTTCATTTTAGACAGTCTTTTTTGGTTTAAACTTTATTGTAAACATTTTTTTTTTTTTACAATCTGTACTCAAATTCTGAGCTTTTCAAAGTTTTAACTCCCAGTTTTGGGGTTTTGTACCTCTATTATCAGAATTTTGTTAAGAATTTAGAATCAGATTTGTCTAGTTTGCTGCACATTAGCCTAAAGTGGACAAGCTGGTTTTAAAACAGGCTCTGTTTCCCTTTGCTTTTATTAGCTGATTTGGACAATGCATGGCCCTGAAATTATATTTTTAGAAAGCAGAACTTAACTGCATACAGAGGGAAGTCTGTTGCACCCTCTAGTGGCCCAATACATAAACAACTTCAGCAAATGATGAAAGAACCTTTTCTAGATAACGCCTTTGAGTTTTTTCCCGAGCTTTTCTTATATCTATATAAGCAGACCCAATGTAACACCAGAGTTTTTGCAGTAACTTAAGACAATCAGGAAGCAAAACAGATTCGGAATCTAATCAGCAGCTAACCTGAGAAGAGAGCAAATGAAAAGGTGAATCAACATTTTTTATTTTTTTTTTTCAAGGAGATCATCAAATAGTAGGAAAACACTCAGGTAAAGGACTGGCAACATGCTCTTTTTGAACTCAACTGATGATGCAGGATTGAATGCAGGTAAGAAGCGCCTGCCCCATGAGTCACCTTGCCCCACGAGGACCCCTGGTGGAGATCTAACAGAACAGGGAAACACCAAATCCCAACAATCCTCTTCGTCCCTGTCTTCGTCATTTGTGACCATAATTTCTCCTAACTCTATATCACACCACTTTGCACTAACTTATATTATTATTGTAATGCTAATATCCTTTTATTAATACATTAATACTTGAAAAATAACAATAACAAGACAGGAAATCCATCTTGCCTAAAGCTATTAACATCTACAAGTAATTGAAAAAATGAATTACATCCACATTTAATTTCCCTTTGGGATTAATAAAGCATTTTTAAATTGAACTGATTAGCAACAATGATAAACATTATATACTTCTGTTAAAGCTCAAATAAAACAAAAACAGCAGGAAAGCGCTAAAGACATGAAGAAAGTGAGTCCTTTGCTTGTATTTCTATTGACCTGGTAGAAGTAGCTCGATATAAATGGCACAAGAAAACAGGCTGTGCATTCATTTCTAACTTTGAACACAGACTCTCCTGTTATATTTTCTTTTGTAATAAGCAAATATATACTTTATCTGCTTAGACTATGGAATTGAATTTAATTATAATTGATAAAGCAGATTAATTACTCATATAATGCTGATCGGCCGGCTTGAAGTCTGGGATGTGATGATAGAGCCATTTAGTATTTGCTAACCTGCTGTTACCATAATGCTCTGTCTAGCTTTGTTCCTGTCTTGACTACCTCTTGTCACGTTGACCTTTGCCCTTAAAAAAAAAGAAAAAAAGTCATTTTCTGAATTGGTTGGAAACTTTATATGCTCCATCCATCTCTTTCTCCTTTCTTCTGTGCATCTTTGCTATCATTCCCATTTCTTTTGTTCTGTTTTCATATTAAGCAGGGCAGATTATATCTCCCCTTAATGTGGCTACAGTGGCTAGCCACCTGCAGCTGTGGGCAGTGGTTCTCATGATGCTGCGTTTAATTATTCTTTTTTTTTTTTAACTGGGAGGGGCTGTTTGCATGTTCCCTCGCTTTCTTGCATGCACTCCATTAGACTTGTGCTTAGGGCCACCTGGAAATCGGAAGGCAAATTTAAATTGATTTGCTTACAGAAAGGGATGTGGTAAAATGAATAGCAAAGCCCAAATGTGCACACACTTGTTTATTTTGTAACTAATACTAATAAACAGCTGGACAGAAATACATGTCAGAAAGCATGCAAATCATTCTTTGTAACCAATCTGATTTTAACCTCTTTATGGGGTGTAATTGTTTCCTGGAATTATTTAACTTGTAACTTCAGTAATCTTGATTGAATGAAATGCCCTTTGAAGCAAGCAAGAGATAAATGAAATTTATGAATGCATTTTATATATATATATATATATATATATATATATATATATATATGGGATAGTCTTTTTTAATACAGTAGGTATAAGCATTTACTTTGATAGCACCGTCTATGAAAGCTTGAACTACTTTAAATGAAAGACAGTTTAACTCCTTTGTAAGCCATGCTGGTAAACAGCACATTATTCGTCAAGGACTCTGTTGTTCCTGCATACCTAAACCCTTACACGTTTTTCTCCATTGTACAAGCATAGTGTGCTGCCTATTTACAAGACCAAGCTCCTTCATTGCTATGGCGATTGAAATCAACATCATCCTCGTTCTTATTCTTCTGTTCTTCATTCCATACCAGGGATTTCAGCATTCACTGCAGAAGCATTCAACATCCACAATAACAAACGTTAGTCACTCTCACTGCCTTTCCTAACAAATGTTCACCATGGAGCTGATCGGTCCCTTTGGCTACAGCCTAAACTTAGCTGGGACAAACAAAACCAAATAAAGCAGAGAGAAATATGCCTATTACTGGCAGAATTAGTTATCAGGTTGGCTTGAAAGTACATTTTATGTCAGGAAAAAGGAATTTGTCTGAAAAGCTATGTTTGTTTGCTTTAAGTTTCCCTACACTGTGGTTTTACCAGTTCTGTTCATGCACAGAGGAAGATAATCTACTGAATGTAAAATCTAGCAGAAGATTGGTTTTCTGATTTATTTATCGAATTGTTTTAACTGACCTCAACTTTAACTGTATTAAGTTAAAATACAAAATTGTATTGTTTTCTAAAATCTACTCACACAAATATTATTTGTAAACCTTATTTTCCTTGGAAATCAGTTTAGAAAAGTCATTCTTTTGAAACTCTCTCTGTACAAATATAATAATTATAATTTGAATTTATGATTACAATACAATAGAAATAATAAAATCATGTATCTTTATCTGATCAGTGAACATAAAAAAAAAATAAATTTTTGTCTTTTTATTTGTGTTTAATATAAATAATTTTGAAATTTTTAATTGTTAGTTTTTGGACAAAAAACTGAATTTTTTTTTGGTATTTAAAAAAGAACATATAAAGCAAAAAAAAACAAAACATAACCATTAGTTTAATCAGGTGCCCACGTTAGGCACCTGGTTAGGGCATTGTGCTTGGCATCCGGAGGTTCTGAGTTTAAACCCCACTCCCACAGACTGCCACTCTGGTTCCCTGAGCAAAGAGTTCATTTCATGCTCTGTACCTGTGATAAAAACACTGGAAAAATGAAAAAAAAATTAATTAAAATAAATAAAACAAAAAATATGTTCCAATTCTGTCTGTCTATCTTATTACAAATAGTTGAAAAACGTAAAACATGATGGTGGCTTCTTTAGTTGATAGATAACCTAGTTACAAGCAGGTAGGTTGATGTCAGACACATTTTATTTGTTAAAACTTTCTGTGAAAGTCTCGACAAAGAAGAGGGAAAAAAGTTTGGAACATGCATCTCATTGACTAAATGGAAACAGCTAGGATTTTATCAAGACATACAGACAACAGAGAGAGATGAGTAGCTGAATAGAGAGTTATACATATAAAACTAGACAATTACTGAAACTATCCCATTAGAAAACTGACTTAAGAAACAATTGTTATATTATTGAAAAAAAACTTAATGAAATGTAGAAACCGGTTAGCAGTAACTAAACTGATCACCATGGCCAAAGGCAACCAGACAACCAAATCATAATAGATTGAGATAAAGGAGAATGAGTTTAGCCTATTTTAGGCTTTTTTAGTCCACAAAATTGCAACAAATTATGTAATTTACACACCCATGCTTCTCTGTGCAACTTCAGCATGGCCTAAATTTAACTACGCAGACAGTTGGTAGAGAAAAAACATGGTGTATGAGCAACAGCTTATGGCGAGTAAGTGTTCAGAGACATCCCATTGTT